CCACATGAAAGGGTTGAAGTAGAAAAATGATACTGTAAGTGGATGCTGTAAAGATGCTGTCAAATTCAGTGCATGGAATCCCACATGCAAGCAAAAATTAAAAAAGCAAATACTACAGGAAGAGAAGAAAGCTTGTTCTTCCACAAAAACAATCCATTTATGTCAGAGTACCAACAGCCTCCAAAGAACATCAAGCACCTTTATGATGCACAGTGTACAAAGGGAACACCCCACACTGTCAGACTGGCCCTGGCCCTGGCAGTTCTAAGTAGGCAGAGCAGATTGTAGGTAACGACGCTCCTTCATACATTTTACAGATGAGGAACAGAGACAGAAAAAACAAGTATAATTAGAAATGGGAGAATCAGGTTATAATAAAAGATTAAAACTGAAACTCAAGTTGAGATTGGTTAGTTCCCATAAGTCTCTGTCTTGAGGGTTTTAGCAGAAATCCAGAAGAGAGAATGGGGACTGAATGACTGTCATTTTAAGCCCTGTATCACTATTGTTAAATGTCAAAATTTGCCCTGGAAGGTATCCAGGATGTAGCTGTATTGGTTTAGAGGCAAAAGCAACCAGGACTCATGGTAGAGGTGATATCTTATTAGACCAACTAGATTTTTGCAAAAAATATAAATAAATATATATTTTTTTTAATTTAAAAAATCTTTTATTTGCAAGCTTTTGGGCACAAACACCCTTCGTCAGGCATAGGAGAAACGATTGTAAAAGTCCAGGAGACCTTAAAACAAAAATCTAGTTGGTCTAATAAAAGACATCACCTCTACCACGAGCCCCGATAAAATTTGCCCTTTTATTTTAAGGAACATATATATTTGCTTATTTTAAAAAAGCTTCTCTTAACTGCCTTTAACAATGATAAACAGGCTTCAGTGGCCCAGAGTAACATTAAAAGAGTATCTTAGCAAATGTTAGCAAAATCCCATTTTGGGGGACTTCTTTTCAGGTCACATTTACTTCCTCAAATCAGAGGAAGCTAAAAGCCCTTTGCCTCCCCTGATTAAGGAATTTTTTAAGTGGTAATGCTGAATAGGGATTTGATACCACCTACTGCTTTGTAGGTAAGGAAACAAACAAACACTCTTTTCCCTAGTAATCATTTGACTATTATTGAATCCTTTTAGCAAAGGGGGCAGGGGGAAGGAAGGCAGGAAGAGTAAGATGCATAGGGGAACACAACACGGCTTACAGAACTTGACAGCAACTACTCCCTTCCCAAAACTCCACACCCTGTCCCTTTGTGTGCGTGCACTAGGGGTGCGCAAAATGGGCCATATTCAATTCAGATTCAGCCCAAATCGGAGACGGTGATTAGATTCATTGATTCGGATCACTGTCTCCAATTTGATTCGGCTGAATCCGAATTTGAAGATTCGATGCCGATTTGGAGAATCAGCGATTCGGCCGTAGGCACAGCTTTAAATGTTTTTTCTACATACCTTGAGGTACCAGCTACAGCTTGTGAACCCTGTGATGGGGGGCAGATGGAGTGTCCCACAGAAGTGTGGGGGGAGCCAAACCTTAATAGTTGTTTGAGGAAGTGGCAAGGCAGCAAGAAACACTAACAATCTCTGCGCCTACTCCCTACCTTCCCAAGAGGATAATGCTTTGTACACAAATAGAACAGTACTTCAGCTCTTTTTGTAGATAACGCATTAGTAACTCCTCAAACTCTTGTGAAGCAGGGAAGCTCTATCCCATCTAACTGAGAGACGGTGACCGTGGGCGAGTCGCACATACACAGGAAATGAGCTCCCCAGTTCCTGGCTTGGAATCTGGCAGCAAGCCCAAAAGATCACCAACCTTTTCAGCTTTAATCACCTAGCCCAGTGGTGGGCATCTTAAGGCCCATGGGCTGAATCTGGTCTTTGGGGCCATTTGATCCCAGCTGTGGACATGGAGCTTTGGTGATTTTTGCTAGCAGAGGCCATCAGCAGCAGTTTCTCTCCTTGAGACAGTGCAGGGAGGAGCAGTGGCTGTGGGAGCTCTCCCCATGCCGTCACAAGGAGAAAGAGGCAGTGGTGTTGCCCAGGTCCTAGCACTTGCCCATGTCAACCCATGCCGGGTCATATTCTGGCCTGTGCAACCTGACAAAGTTTGTCAATCACTGATCCAGCCAGAGGCACAAATCTCTTTCAAGGCCACTATGACAGCTACTGAAGGAAGTGATCTGTGATAGGGCAGGTCAAAGTAAAAATAATTTAGTCTCTATCTCCCCAAAATGACTCTTCCCCTAAACAAAACAACCCACACAAAGGCTGCCTTTGGAACTCCACTGGAAGCTTGTAGCAGTGCTCCAAATTCACCCACATTTGGGAAGGTCACTCTAACATTGCAGCTGAAATGAAAATGAAAACTAATCTTGCATAGACCTTAGAGCTTAACACAAGTGAAAAAGCAGATGCTTTCTCCACCAAGTTAAGGTGTTTGCCTTCTGGAACAACAGCATTAAGCAGACTGCAATTCCAGGGCACTTCTCAAATGCTGGAAGTGGAAATGACCTCCTGCTTGGATGCTGGAGAAATGTTGCTCCAAAACAAAAGACGCAGAACGCAAGCAAATTATGAAAAGCCAATATTGGAAAGAGTCTCCCTCTTCCATCCACCCATTCTATGTTCCCAAATAAACGGTTTTCAAGCAGTAAAGAGGACTTGGACTCTAGGAAGGGAATATAGTTGTGATGAAAGTCTGAACTGACAGCTTTGAAAAGGAGTGTTCTTACCAGAACAGGTTGAAGGTATGGAGAGGAGCAAAGGAACCTTGTCCTGGCAGAAGCTATGAACAGAAGCCAGGGTTCCTCTGCTGTTTGTAATACATACACATCACGTGGGTGGGAAGGGAACTTCGGAGCTCAGCTGCAGAGTATATTAAGTCTTTGGTTTCCACTGGGACTTTTAAAAGGTGAACAATGCAAATTATAGCAAAGGTGGATGATCTTGTCGTATGTATACAAGTGAAGACCAAGTTTTCAATAGGCTACAGGGCCAGCAGCTGGCCATGGCTCATAATAAATAAGTCTATCCCACATAGGTTTAGCCTTGTTCAGGTCACATGCTAGTAAATAATTCATCACAGCTGAAGGGAAAAAAAAAGTGATAGATGCAAGCTGACTGTAGTCTTACTTGAGTGAATGATCCATCCTCGTTGCATTCTGGAATGAAGACCGCTTCCTGGGGCTTCTTTGCCTGTTCCAGCGCCTGAGCTCTCTCCAAACGACACTTGCTTTGACCAGCATCTGCAGAGGAAACCAAAACCCACTTTGACTATAAATGTCAACCAGCCCCCAGAAGCTATGTTCAGCTCTGAGGCTGGGAGGAGGGGAAACTCCAACAGGATGCCACATAATTAGTTTCTGTTATGCCACTTTTACCTGTATATTAGAAAAGCAGCCATGATACAGGTTTAATATCCTCAGGGTGCAAGGGGGAAATACAAGATGTAGGAAGCATCAGCCACCACACATTTCATCCAGGATTTGGTTATATTTAGGGGCATGTACTTTTCCAGGATTCACCCTGGGTTATAACAGCTCCTTCCAATAAATGCCAGAACACAAAGTTTGAAGTGGAAGAAGTCCTTCAGAAACTGCATTAAACAAAATATTCACAACCCTCCTTCCACCAGACAGACTAGAAGCAACTGGCACTAGCCCAGAAGTAGGCAATGCTGGCAGGGAAATGGGTGTCAAACTGGTCATGGCCCTGATTATATTCACCTTGTTATCCTTTCTTCCTCAACCTTTTTTGCCTGTTGAAGCTTACCCTTTCTTCAGATGCTCCCCACTCCCCCACCATAAACACATCCTCAGGGAAAGTGCCTTCCCTAAAAGCCAGCTTGCACCTCCAACAAACCTACGGAGTAGGTGTGCAATGTGCACTTCCCCATGCACCAGGATTAAATCAGTTACACTGGGTGAGTCTACACGTGCAATTAATGCAACTGAACATGCTCCAGCTCAATTTGAGCTGGATAAACTAATTTCAATGTCACTGACTACATGTGTGTTTAAGTGCAGTGATTTACTGTGCTGCTAGATCCCACTTGTATCTGACACGACTAGATCCCACTTGTATCTGCCGGATGCAGCACAGTAAATTAGTCTACTGTGCCCTAACTACCATGCATGTGGAGATGGCGACACTTTATACTGCACAGCAATTAGTCTACTGTGTAGTAAACGTCTCATGTAGATGCACTCATTGTTACTAAAGAAGGAGTGTCGCAGGGCAAACAGGGCCTGTAAGGGTTAAAGGCATCAGTTCTAGCCTCTGCCCAAGGCAGGTGATAATTGGCACCTGGGACCTTAACCCCTTATAGGTCAGGCACACTCAGTAACAGAGGATAAACACATCTTTATGATAAGCTTTAAGACAATTATATGCAAGGTCAGAGAGCAAGTTCCCCATCTTCAAAAGGTTCAATACAAACTTAAATATTTACATAACATGCCCCCCTCTTTCCACTTTGCATAACAACAATGGAGTGACAGTCTGGAAAGGGACTGAGAAAACATCACAACCTTGTACTTCAGGGACCAGATCCTGCCACCCCTACATGTAGCAGTACCTTTCTCACAGAGAATCCATACCTAGGGGACTTCGTAGCACAAATGACTATCTTGTTGGCTCTGCACAGTGGCTGACAGAATGGTGCCTCCATTCTTAGATTTTGTCTCTTCCACACCAAGGTTATAAACTCAGTTTAAAAGACAAACATAGATGCAACATACAAACAGAAAAGCTAAAAGAAGTATGAAATAACAGCTTATAAAGCTATTTGCTCTGTTCACAAGTTTTTTTTAAAGTATGCAATAACTACACCAGTACACAAAAAAGCTAGACAGTCTTGGCCACCTATTTATTAACACCATTCAAAAGGCAAAAGAGAAGAATGGATCCTTTAGAAGGCATTGAAAAGAGTAGGAAGGACAGACTTTAGGTGATTGATCTGGAAATGGTACTCCATGTGCAAGGATAAAATGGAATGAAGAATCATAGTCCTTGATGGAGAAGCAGGCAAGCGCAAAGGCTACCATGCCTGATGAAATACATAGTTGACAGCACAGTAAAATGAGAGTGGATTGCCATAGAAAGCAATTCTTGGCTTTGGCTGTGCAATTCTTTGAAGAACCTCAGGGGCCTTGGCCCCAAATCACATACACACACATGCTTTTCCTAATTAATCAGAAGATCTAATATAGGTAAAAACATCCTAATTTGCCTCATACGTTAGCTAGGCTCTGAATAAAAAATTATCATTCCTGTGCTGCTGTAAAGGCAGAAAGCCTGGATACTGGGCTGAATTTGCAGTAATAGTAGTCAGGAAAGTATTTAACTTGTAATGAACTTATCAACTCCAGAAGATGCAGGAGTAATAAAGAAATAGGAAATAAAGAAAAAGTAATAAAAGAAAAAGAAGAAGTAATAAAGAAAATGGAAAAGTGCTGTCTTTCTTTCGCAAGCTACTTTTATTTAGGTGTCTGATAAAGAGTTAAGGGGTCTTATTTCCTCCTTGCAAATACTGGCTATTAGGTTTCTTTTAATTATACTCTCTCTCATCCCAAACATGTAAAATACTTCACTGAAGTGATATGCAATGAAATACTTTAATCTCTGGGATGAAAAAAGTGTTTTGGCAACACTACTCACTAAGTGGTCTACTGAACATGGCATTTAACTCAATTCTTTCCTGAATTCTGTTTTTGCCCTGTCATGGGACCAAGAGTCCATACATTTTCCCTGTGGGCTTTTTTAAATGCAGTCATTTAGTTTCTATGCAATTTTGCCACCTTTTAGAAGATAATAGGTGCATAAACCTATTGACAATTCATTCCACTGCATGGGATGAAGATACTACTTTTGACAAGACAACCCCTTCCTCAACAACTCACATTCAATGACAGTCTCACATTGCCAGACAAGTGCAGGGGTAGACACCAGGGCTGGATCCACGGTGGCGAAGGTGGGGGGGAAGGGGGGCGGCATTATGGTGTGGTTGCATCCCCCTTTGTCTGTGCACACACAAGCTCTCAGTGTGGCATCTGCCAGAGCTCACTGTGCATGCATAGCACAAATCAACTGGGGAGGGGAGGAGTGCACAGCCCTCTCTTATCCTGTTTCTGGACCTGTTACTAATGGATGCAATTTCCTTCCCCTTCACAGAAATCTCCGAACTAGTGTTATAAATATATAACGCTTGGCAATCTGGTGGTTGCACCAGAGGAAAAGGCAAACCTTTTTAACAATGTCTTTACCTCCATTTTTTTGTGCAGGGACCAGGACTCCCACACTGAGATTCAGGATGGACTCAGGAGAGACTCTGACAGGCCTAGGGTCAGGAAGGACTGAGTTAGGGAACTTCTGGAGGGGCTGGATGTATTCAAATCAGCAGGTCCAGATGCTTTCCACCCCAGGGTGCTGAGGGAATTGGCAGGGGTTATCGAGGGGCCTCTGGCACAGCTTTACGAGCATTCGTGGTGCTCTGGCCAGATGCCAGACAACTGGAGGAGGGCCAATATGATCCCCATCTTCAAAAAAGGGAGGAGGGAGGACCCGTTAGCAACTACAGGCCCTTTAGTCTTACTTCGATCCTGGGGAAGCTGTTTGAGAAGATTATCCAGGAGCACACCTAGGAAGGACCAGCACGGGGGATGATGCTCAGGGGCAACCAGCATGGGTTCATTAGGGGCAGGTCCTGTCAGACCAACCTGATTGCCTTCTACGATCAGGTCACAAAATCCTTGGATGCAGGTGTTGCGGTGGACGTAGTCTTTCTGAACTTCAGGAAGTCCTTTGACACTGTCTCCCACCCTATTCTTATTAAAAAGCTGTGGCATTGATGCCTACAGTCAGATGGGTCACAAATTGGCTGAGGGGCCGCACCCAGAGTGGTGGTGGATGGGTCATATTCAACCTGGACGGATGTGGGCAGTGAGGTCCCCCAGGGTTTGGTCCTTGTTTAATCTCTTTATTAGCGACTTGGAGGAGGGGGTGAAAAGCAACCTGTTCAAATTCGTGGACAACACCAAGATTTGGGGCGAGGTGGGCACGCTAGAAGGGAGGGACAGGATACAGCTGGACCTGGACAGGTTACAGAGGTAAGCAAATGAGACTAGGATGGGATTCAATACTGACAAGGGCAGGGCACTGCACTTGGGCAGTAAGAATCAGCAGCATGCTTATAGGCTGGGGAACTCCCTTCTCGAAAGCACAGTGGCAGAAAGAGATCTTGGAGTCATTATTGATTCCAAAATGAACATGGGCCACCAATGTGAGGACACGGTCAGTAAGGCCAACTGCACCTTGTCATGCATCCACAGATGCATCTGAAGTAGGGCCAAGGAGGTGATCCTCCCCCTCTATGCGACACTGGTCAGGCCACAGTAGGAGTACTGCATCCAGTTCTGGGCGCTGCACTTTTAGGAGATTTGTGGCCAGCATCGAGAGGGTCCAGAGGAGGGCCACTCGCATGATCGGAGGACAGCAGGCCAGACGCTATGAGGAGAGGCTACAGGACCTGAACCTGTTCAGCCTTCACAAGAGAAGGCTGAGAGGGGACCTGGTGGCCATCTACAAACTTAACAGGGGGGACCAGCGGGGAATGGGAGAGACCCTGTTCCCCCGAGCACCTCCTGGAGTAACAAGGAATAACGGCCATAAGTTGTTTGATAGTAGGTTCAAACTGGACATTAGAAGACACTACTTCACAGTCAGGGTGGCTAGGATCTGGAACCAACTTCCAAGGGAAGCAGTGCTGGCTCCTTACTTTGGGTGTCTTTAAGAGGAGGCTTGACGATTACCTAGCTGGGGTCATATGAGCCCAGTATTCTCTCCTGCCCAGGGCAGGGGGTCAGACTTGATGGTCTATTTAGGTCCCTTCCAACCCTACATCTATGAATCTATGACTCCTCCAGGACTCCTCCCTCCTACCCACCTTCCCAACCCAGATCACACCAGTATTAAGCTGTCTTGGCATTGAATAACCAGCTATAATGTACTGATTAGGAAGTGCCCACATTAAGCTATTTTTTAACATTTAGTTGCACAATACAGGTCCAGTTAAGCTAGTGCCTGAAATATCAACACTTACCACTTAATTTTAAATAGGGCTGTCCAGTTCACACCCCTTCTCCTACCTTCCCCACTTCCCCTCCAAAGGCTGGTATTTTTATAATGTTTGCCTCAACAGCCGGTTTAGTAGGATGACTTCGCTTAGCTATTTTTGCTTTGTTAATTA